TTTGCTTTTTCTTCTGCTTGCTGTCCATGAGTGTCATTAGAGTGATAGCCTTTATCTTGGCAGCTGCCATTGGCTCTAAGCCAGCATCTGTTCATATTTCCAGAATTAGCCTCATTGGACCCTACCAAAGGTACCACTTTAGCTGGTCGTGCCCGCTCTCATAAATGCTCTGCAGCATCCTTTGTTTTAGTTTCTGAATTCAGATAACACCAGCATCTCCCTTAGTTCTCTGGCCTTAGGGAGTAGTTGCTTCTTTTGGTTACTATTTGCTGAATATATTCCTTATATTAGATTCTGAATTTTTCTTCTGAATTCAGATAACACCAGCATCTCCCTTTGTTCTCCAGCCTTAGGAAGCAGTTGTTTCTTTTAGTTACTATTTGTTGAACATGTTACTTATATTAGATTTTCTCTGTTGAAATACTATGTGTGGTTCTGTTTAGATTCTGACACAAAAGCCTGATTACATCAGTACTGTTATTCAACAAGAGAAAGACACGCACACACACACACACACACACATACCACACAATCATGCCTTCACATACCTCTCTGATTAGAATTTTGTTTCTCATCTAGATTCTCTTACAGACAAAATGTGTTGTTCAGCAAATAGGTATAACACATGTGATCAACTTGGAAGTTAGAGTTTTCATTATAGATGAATTTTTTTAAGCATGGATCTTTGTATTTCCATTTCCCCAAACCTTATTTTGGTCATGGTGGCAGGTTCATCTCTGGGCTTTTGATGCTGAGTTTCCTACACCTGTGAATGGGGGGGGGTCACTCCCTGAACCATGTAGTTCCACCAAGTGATGACACCCTGCTGACAACCCGCTTTCACACTCCTCCCCTTCTGTTGCATATTTGCAAACAAATGGAGAAAACAGAGATTCTGGCAAGCATAAACCACTTAGTCTTCAAGGGGTCATGCCTCATATCTAGAAGCCATGTCTACTTTCTGACCACACTGTTTCTTTTAATTTTTTTTTCTGAATAAAAATTCTCTGGATAAGATTTGTAAAGGGCTTCAATATTTAGATATAATTGACCACAACACTAAGTTACCTCTCTTGGGAGACTATTTCAATTTAGCTTGTAGTTTAGTATATTTATTCTTTTAATCCAAAAGATCAAGTTTTGATTTTAGAATTTCAGCATTCATTGCACTGTGTACAAGGAGTATTTTTCATTAAAACGAAGTCAGGAAATGTAGGTCATTCCTCAAGGCTTGTGAAGACTGGGCAGTCTCCTTCTTTAGCTATTCTAGGTTGGCACTGATATAAAGAGACGTTCAATCCAGCACAGTTCTTAACTGTCTAATGCCAGACCATAACTGATCTCTTTGGGCCCAGTTCATGCTGGAGCACAGCAGGGGAGGCCACAGGGCACCTATACATCTCATAACAGCCTCCTTTGTAAGGCTAAACAAATATTTGCCTCCAACTTGCAAGGCTGAGCCATGGAACTGGGTTTTTACACATATATTCCTATGCATCTGCATCGCTGCTGCTTGACTGTGCCAGCGTCCTGGCTGGATGCATAGAGCAGTATGCAGTGACAATACCTGTGTATTTTAGATGCCCAGTGTCCTCAGACATCCTTTATGAACTTTCAGAGCCAGAGACAGCTTTGTAAAACTGGGGCTCCATCTTTTACTGGGATCTGGAAGGTTCTAGATGCTATTAAGATTTAGCCCATAGGTAAGAATTATATCTAGCTTTTATATTTCGAACAACAGATATGGGGACACTCTGGAGGAGGCATGAAATGATAATCACAAGTAAGATTTAATAATGAAGTACATTTAATGGGATCCAGCAGAGTAAAAGAAAAGGGACCTGTATTGAAATAGTGGGGATTCTTTGAATCAGGTTTGCCACACCATCCTTGAACTTTAGAAATTGTTAAATCTTTTAAAGCATCATCTCCTCAGGTATAAGATGATAGAATCTGGAGGGTCCTTTGGATGGTTATAAAATGTCTCAAATTCTTTATGTTTTCAAAACTGACTTGACTTGCTTCATAGGTTATGATGAATTTTAGGAGCAGAGAAGGAAGGAGAACTAAACACTCCAGGGAAGATATCAGTCATCAAACTGAGGTTATGTGTTTGCAGAATCAAAACATGGCTCTGAGGGAAATACTATTGAGGAATATTAAAGAAACATCAGACTAACTCATTAAAAGAATTTCTATCCAAGTTTATCTCCAAGTGAAGTGAATCGTGAATAAATATAAACCCACACACATCAGGCTCTCTAAGGAA